TGTGATACATATTCCGATTTTCTAATTCCTTGAATTCAAGTAGAATTTGGATTTTTCAAACAGGTGGCAATAGTCCTTCATATAGTTTAGAACTAAAACCCTTTTCAAAAATATTTCGATTGACACCCATATTGCAGTAATTCATTTAAATTAGTTGAATTTAATTTTTAATCGGGTGGCAACCCTAGTAAAACGCCTCAATAATATTATAAAAATTTAAACAAAAAGGTTTGTTAACAATTTTTCGTTTGACACACATATTTAAATTTTTGAGATACATAGCTTGCGTATAATTAATTTAAATTTGACTTGTCAAACAGGTGGCATCACTTTTCAAAATATTTTCAAACCACAACTTTTTCAAGCCTCTCAACATACATTTCTTAATATAATTTTAAATAACTCCATACCAAGTTCCAGTGTCACAAATATTTCCTGCGATATGCCGTATGAAAAAGTCCTTTGTATCGAGATTAAATCCTATATCCTATATTTTTAGTTGATCTAAATGACATCAGTGTACTGAATTTCATGATGATCGGTTGAGTAGTTAAATCGTGAAAGCGTAACAAATAAAAAAACTCACTTTCAGATTTATAATATTAGTCAAAATATATTGACAGACACGAACAAGTGAATTCAGTAAAAAATCTATAGAGCTTTTATAATGACATCAAACGCACATCCGTGTATCGAGCCCTAACCGCCAAAAAGACGTAAGCGAAATTTTTTCAAAATTTTATTTCTGATGTAAATATAAATGCATCCATATACTCTAGGAATATTTTTGCATCAAAACGAAAACTTTGAAAAAAAAATTCGCCTAAGACTTTTTGGCAGTTAGAACTCGATACATGTACATATGCATCCTGCTTTTATATATTGTTCGATTTTTGGAAATTCCAGTTCTTTTCGCCTGCTCCCAATTCAGCGCGCAATGCAGACGAAACTGTGTGAGGGGAGGTGTGTACATACCCTGCAGGGATAGCTAATAGTTGTGAACTTGAATAAGTACTACCAGTTCGCTTTTCAGCCCAACTAGTTCACGTCCCATCCGTTTTCAATATTAGCGACTGACATTTTTAACATGGCGATGTCCTTCGAGATGTTAATTGTCGGGCTATGCATCAGCATCTACTAGTAGAAATACTAGCAGCATCATACCAGTTAAAAGCATGAATATGCCGATTTGCTCGCGGCGCTCCAACAGTCGCAGTGGCCGACAGAGCAGAGCATCTAAGTTTTTTGACGTAGAATACGTCTTACCTTAAGGTATGGGGGCTATGTTCAAATGTTGTAGTTGTAATTTTTAGAGCTTCACAAAAACGCTTATTGCACGAGAACTAATAAAGCGATTTCAAAGAAAAGTGTGGCGTTTCAAAGATAAAATTCCAAACCTGTCGACAGATTCATTTTTGTA